CTCAAAAATTGATATATTTTTGTATTGGTGTGAATTTATTATATCTTAACTATGCTTCGTGTTTTATGAGAATACCCATGCTCCATGACTCAAGTCTATTTGGTCTGAAAATTGAAGGGCTTCTGCTATCACATGATATAGATGTCTTTGGTTCTTGGGTGCTGAAGGCCTTGATAATAACATATATAATTTTCTCTTCCTACTCTAGACACAAAACTACTAGCAATTTGAGTTAAAGAAGTCTTCATCATCCGCATCATTGCAGTTGATTCAAATAACTAGAGATGTCGGTCAAATGCAATATTAATTTATGAATATCACTGGGCACGTGGCCTAGTGGTATGGCTCATACCTTTAAAGTCCTCCAAAGAAAAAAGGTCAATCTATTTTAGTATTTTATATCTTTGTATGTTCTAACCAAATTTATTTCTATTTTTCTATAAATTTATTTGCTCAGAATCTCAGATTTCAATCAATTTAATTGAATTTTTGTTATTTGTACATCCTTTACTTTGTAGGGTTAGTCTACTTTCTTTCTTATGGTCTCACTGCTTTTATTGTTGTTCTATCACTTTGATGGTACTGGTTGTAAAATGCCAGTATTCTGCACACGCAAACCGGCATGTTTTGTTTGTTGTCGATGGCTGATGGATCCATTTCATTAAAATTGAAATGTGGCTTCACCACAAAACCCACCTTTACATAAAATTTAACTGGATCAATACTTATTTGTACTGTTAAGTGCTTGAATTAACATCTCTTTTAAAACATGATGCATCGTTCCTATTGGGTGGAGTATTAGGTCTGATGAGACTAGAGTTTTTATTTTTGAGTAGGACTTATACACTGGAAAGTATCTTTACAAATCTGCTAATTGAGGGAGCGCAAGAAGAACTATCATTCCGTACAATGGTATGTGATCTGAGGACAAGGTTCCCCATGCTACAAATTGTCCTCTTAAATTCAAGAGCCTGGTGTTGCTCTGGCCATTGCTACGAAAATGCTGCAACAAGAGGACTTCCTGCGATACACATGCAACCTGTGGTTAAGGTTCTTTTTTCAGATTGTAGTGCTTCCACAGACGCCAATTCAGTGTAAGTTTGACGTTCCTCTCTGATAATCTAAATTCAATTTAATATTGAACTTTATCATAATGCATCTTCTACCTAAGTTATCGGATACATTGATTCGAGGTTATAAAAGGAAGCAAGACATCATAGTATTAAATTTTCCTATTTCTGCGTCTATGTAGCCAAAAATTACAGCAACATTAAACTCAACGTCCAAGTGAAATCGCTCTGAAGCATTATCATTTAGGCCACCACTTATTTTCTCATTCATATGAATGGCTTCATGTACCTATTTGTAGATTATTTACTGTTGGTGTGCCTATTTGTTTTACACATTTATTTTTGTTTACAGAGTTGCTAAGGATAGGTCAGTCCGGAATGGTACTGAAGAAGTGTACATGATGAATCGTGAAATAGAAGGACTTACAAGATCATTAAAATCATCAATTGCTAAACTGCCGCATTCATGCTCTTCATTGCAAGGAATGTCTCTGTCATTCCTAGGAAGGTAAGAAAAAATTATCGTCTGCCTACATGTTATGTAAATCGTAGGCGTGGCAGAATTTATTTGTTACCATTTTAAATGATTCGATGCACTTCATCTGTCATTATTTT